CGGGGACTCCGGAGCCCGGGGACTCCGGAGCCCGGCCCCGCCGGTGGGCGCACCTGAGCTATCGCCATCCTCCGACACCGACGAGCTCTCCGTGTCCTCGTCCTCGGAGCTGCTCCCTTCGTTTTCGGCGTAGTCCACCTCCATCTCATCGTGATGGTTTGTCTCCTTCTTATCCCCGCGGGAATGGACCGGCATTTTCCAGCCGCGCCGTCGCTTCCCACACCCGGGGCCCAGATCGGCCACCGCCGCTTCAATGAAGGGTGCGCCGATCACCCCTACCTACTTGGGCGGCCGAGCTAGCTGTGATCCCGCTCGGCACCTCCCCGCCCCCGGCCCGGGCCACACAACCTAACCCGCAGGCTCTGCTCCGGGGGCCCTACCATTGGCCGAGGCCAGGGGCGGGGCTTGCCATGCTGAGCTACGATTGGTTTCCCTTAATGACGGCGCAGCTCCTGGTGTCTTTCGGGAGTTGTAGTCATTAGTGTTCAGACCTGCAGGGGCTGAGGGCTTACATAGTTCAGCAGTCCTGATCACTGCTTCCCTTTGGACTTCAAGTCCCACAAGGCACAAAAGCTAACACATTTGATCGCAGTTTATAAACTAAACAGAAGCAGATTGTGCGAATTTGGTCTGTATGCATCTTTTTCCCGCCATAAGGTTGTCTAACCTCCCTAGCTATTCAAGATATTTGTGTAAGATGTCAAAAGGTCTTTTACCAGAAAGGGTCTTTTGCCTACTCTTTGAGCCAGTGAGAACTGAAGAATCATCTCTTCTGCCTTGGTGCATTTTTTTTTTTTTTTTACCACTGCTAAACTATTATATGGAATAGTAACTGTAGAAAAATAATTTGGACTATGCTGCACAAAAAAGTTTTTTTAATTGTTATTGACACGTTTGCAATCAAAAATATAGAGGGAGGGACATTTTCTTTTGGCGTGTTTAATCTAGGATATTTTGTTTTTGTTTGTTACCAGTTGCAGCCCGAAGATACCACCTGTCTCCTACTGAGTAAAATCCAACTAAGAGGCTATTACATAATGTCAGCCTACTTCTCCCCTTCTAACTATATTTTCCAAAACTCATCTCTTTACAGTTTCCCATTTCAATGTCTACACATTCTATTCGTTCCACAAACCCAGTCTTCTCTTTTTCATTTTCTTGACGACGTCATTACCAACACGTCCACCATTTAGGACACCATCAGGCTCCTCCTGTACTTGGTGACTTTGTACTTGTTTCTATCACACTGTATTGTGAATTGTCTAGCAAATGCTTGCTTCTCTCATTGGATGGAGAGCACTGATTTCGTCTTGGATGGAAATTCAAAGGCAAGCAGCAGACAGGTGGGTGACATTGAAAGATGGAAACCTCTTGTGAGTTGTATGGACTAAAGGGGGCAGCTGCGTTGTTACTGCCAGCTAGCTGTTACTACCTGAGAATTCCAGGTTAAGGGTGTCAGACCTGATTTTCAAGAGAAACTGGACATTTACATCTCTAATATATATTATCCAGATTTGTAAATATTTTCTCAAGTGGGATTTTGTTTTGTTTCTTCAACTGCATACCAAATAAGAACAGCTGTGGGTAAAATCCCTGGCTTATGTGCAGCTAGCGGAGTGTGTGCTCCATACAGTATTAATACAGTGGACCCTTGACTTATGAACTGGATTGGTTCCCAAGGGCTGGTTGTATCTTAAGTTAGTTGTAAGTCAGTACAGCTGAGTTCTGGATGTTTACCTGGGTACATGCTATAGATAACGAGGCAGATGAATCTTCCGTTAGCTTAATTAACCCAAGTTGTTCCTATGTCAGGCCAGTTGTACCTCACAGCTCTACTGTAATTACTTAGATTTCTGGCACTTTTTTTGTGCCAAGCACTATTTATGTGCCAAGCACTGTTATGCATGTTAAGTAATGCATTTATCCTCATAACAACCCTAGAAGGATTTTTATGTTTTTGATTTTATAGATGAGGAAACTGAGGTACAGAGCAGCTAGATTACTTGGCCAAAGTCAAGTAATGGATCTAAGACTTGAACTTGAGTAGTCTGGCATTAGAGCCTGCATGCAGCCACTGGCATACAGTGTGCCTCTAGTGGGCACACTAAAACAGAAACAAACTGGAGAGAAGGAGGCACAGGTTCGAGCCTTGATCTTCCTACTAACCAGCTAATTAAGTTTGGCAAAACATAAAAGCTCTAGCCCGTTGCAAATTGAGAAGTTTGCATTGTTATCTTTAAATTCTCCTCTACCTCTAAAATTCTTGTCATCATTAAATTTGTGTTTAAATCAGAAAAAAATACTGAGATTATCTGGGAGTGGTGACATGTGCCTATAGTCCCCACATGCAGAGCCCAAGAAAGGAAGGATCACTCGAGATGAGAAATTCAGGCCCAGCCTGGGCAACATGACAAGATCCTGCCTCAAAATAATAATAATGATAGGAATGATGCAATGATTGTATTTGAACTAAGGGAAATGTTCTCTCCAACCCCAAACAGATTTTGGAAAAGATGCGTAGGGAATAGAAGAAAACCATAAGGGGGAAAAAGTCTAGGAAAGAATATCGTAGATACAGAAAATCAAAAAATAGTATAAAGAAAACCAAGTTAGGTGTGGAGGCACATACCTGTAAACCCAGAACCGTGGGAGGCTGCAACAGGAGGATCACAAGTTTGAGCCCAGCCTGGACCATTTAGCAACTTAGTAAGACCCTGTCTCAAAATAAAAATAAAAGTAGCTCAGTGTGGAGGCCCTGGGTTCAATCCCCGGTAACCTACACAAACACATAGCCGTGAAAGCAGAGTAAAATTTCAAGACATTTAAAGAGGTAGTGATGATGCTTTACATTCATGTAGCACTATACGTCTGTTGATACCCTTCTGAAACTCTTTGTCCTCTTCTCTGAACCATCTCTTTTTTCTTGTTCTAAAGAAAACATAGCCCTTCCTCGGGACCCTGCTGCTTTGTGCCCCACCTCCCATTGAGCCTTGTCAGGGAGTGAGTATATTCCTTGTCCTTGTTGCTTTCAGTTCTCCACGCCCTCCCTGAATCCCCTGCCTTGTCCCCAGGGAAACCAGACAGTACATCTACTGTTGCTGTCACCTATATATCTCCAGGGTAACTCCGTGTCTGGGTTACTTTTCTCGTTGCTGAGACAAAACACCCAGCACTCAAAGTTAAAGGAGAAAAAGTTTATTTAGCTCACTGTATGTGGAGGTTTCAGTCCACAGTTGGCTGGCACCAAGGTGGGGTGCTGTGCACAGGGGCATTGCAGAGGAGAAGTGGTTCATGGCAGGCAGAAGGCAGCAAAGCAGCCAAGTAGGGAAGAAGCAGCAAGTGGCAACGGCGGCCCTCTTTCTGTCCCTTATATCTGACCCACTCACATCCAGAGTGGGGCTCCCTTAAATCCTAGCACCATGAGTCAATCCCAGCATCACACACTGTAGATACACCAACCTCTGAAAAGCCGCACCTATGACTTCATATGAGGCTTTGGGGGGAACATCTAGATACAAGCCATAACAATACTCCCCCTCATTTGTTTTGAAGATTTGAGCTCCTGACTCAGTGTTGTTCTTACGATATTCCTTTTCCTAATTCTCAGCCATGGTAGCGTTTATAAAGTTGATCCTGTACCACTTCATTTCCTATTGGCTTTACTCTGGCACAAAGTAGATATAAAGTAACATAGCATTTTCATTCTAGTGTTCCCCCTATATCTTTTAAAGATATAGTTGTTTTTCCTAATATGCTTTATTGAATATTTTAATATTCTATAATAATATAAGCACCTAGAAAGTTAGTTAAAATATGACAAGTACCAGGCATGGTGGCGCACACCTGTAATCCCAGCACTCAGGAGGCTGAGGCAGGAGAATCACCATGAGTTTGAGGCTAGCCTGGGCTACATAGTGACCTCAAGGCAAGCCTGACAAAGTGCTTTTCTATGTGTTTTGTTAAATCTTAGCATTTTACCGCATTTCTTTCAGATCCCCATCAATCCCAACCTTTTCCTTCCCTTTTCCAGAGTAACCATTACATGGACTCTGGTGCTTTTGCTTATCATCATACAAGTTTACATTCTATTTTTATATACATGTATATCCATAAATAATATGTAGTATTGTTTAGCATGCCTTAAAGTGCTTTTTTGTGGTACTGGAGATTAAACCCAGGGCCTTTGCACAGAACTACATCTTTTTAATTTTTCATTTTGAGGCAGGGTCTCACTAAGTTGTCCACCAGCTGGCCTCAGACTTATGATCAACCTGCCTCACCTTCCCGAGCTGCTGCAACTACAGGAATGCACCACTGCACCTGGCTTAAAGTATTGATATTTTAAAATGATCTCAAATACATGAATTATGCTACAATTTAACTTTTTCCTAATAGGTATTTTTGAGATTTATCCTTTGTGATAGAATTAGCTCTAATTCAATTTTTTTTACCTGCTCTGATATATTCCATTGGTTAAATGTATTTCAATGAATGATTATTACAAATTAACTATTTGCCTGTTAATGGGCATTTATGTTGCTTCTAATTTTTTCACTATTAAAACAGTTGCGCCGGGCATGGTGGCGCACGCCTGTAATCCCAGCACTCGGGAGGCTGAGGCAGGAGGATCGCTGTGAGTTCGAGACCAGCCTGGGCCCTTGTGAGGTAACAGTTGCGCCGGGCATGGGCGCGCACGCCTGTAATCCCAGCACTCGGGAGGCTGAGGCAGGAGGATCGCTGTGAGTTCGAGACCAGCCTGGGCTACCTTGTGAGGTCCAGGTCAGTTTCAACTACTTAGTGAGACTTTGTCTCAAAAACAAAACAAAAAACAAACAAACAAGAAAAAAAAACAGTTACCTCACTGGACATGATAGCACATGCCTATATTCCCAGCACTTGGGAGGCTGAAGAAGGACACCATGCTTGAGACCATTCTGGGCTACTTAGCAAATTCAAGGCTGGCTAGGAATACATATGGAGACCCTGTCTCAGAAAACCAAATACACAGAGTTGTCTCGATGAACACTGTTCGTCTATAAGGGAATATGTGTGAGAATTTCTGTGGATCAGCAGCCTTCGAAATGGGGCAGATCTCTGTATCTAAGGAATATATCCAAGGGGAGCAAGCTATTAAGAAAGAAAATATTAAAATATTTACTTGTACTATTTTCAGTTTCATCTATTTTTAAATAAAGTAGATATAGGAAACGACTATTCTATTTTTAAAATTCTGACTTGCCCTTGTATTTTTCTTTTACTTGTTTTTAATCCGCAGGGATTAAAAACTCTTGCTCTTGCTTTTAAGGGAAGCAGGCAATTCCAAATTTCACCACATGGTGGGGCTGAGACACCAACTACACAGTCCA